TGTGAACAATTGGAGTCAATGTAAAAATGGTAATTTTAAACATCAGTTTTTCACTTATGGAGCAAATCAATCATTGTTAAAATAAATTACCAACATCTCCATGCTGTCTAGATGCAATATGTGTATTTTCAGATTTTTGTTTGAATAACTGAATTTTTTACAGTGGTTTGAAATCTGCTTTTCCATGCATGGACGGCTGCTAAACCTGCACATCTGGCTTAGTCAATTTGTGAAGCTACACATGAATTGTAATGACTAATTAGTTCAGTGAGATAGAAATTGATCCTTAGTCTCAGAGGTTGTGAGTTCAAGCCTCAGCTGATGCAAAAGGCAGATTGTGTTGCTAAATTCCTAAATGTCTTCCAATTCTTCTGCTTGTTGCTCAGAATTGCCTAAAAATGCCCGGACCCGACCCATCGCTGCGCAGCAGCTATAACTGTTTGTGTTTTGCTGTATTTTCGGCAGCCTTGTGTAACATCTTGGTCGAGGGACTAAAGATGAAAAGAGCCTTTTGGCTGATTCTGGCCTTTTTTATACCATGGGTATTTATTAATTTGCACCATTCCTTCTTAAATAAACTAAACTAAGAGCTGTCCTGTTGAAAGTGACCTGGTGGTAAGGTGCTCTCTAATATTCCCTACACTCAGAGGCCGTTTACACGTACATGGTGATTTTGATAAACGGAGACATCTTCCTTCGTTTGTGCCCTTCGTTTACACGCAAACAGAGATTTCTCCTCTGAAAACGAGTCTTTCTAAAAACTCCGGCCAGAGTGGAGATTTTGGAAAACTCCGGTTGCGCATTGCATGTAAACTGAGATAAACGGAGATAGACGGAGTTATAGGCAGCCCACGTCACAGTATGCGCCGGAACTTGCGCCTGTGTCAAAAGTGCGACCTATGTTGCTATGGTGACAATGGATACATGGAAGGCTAGAGCTTCTCGTTACACTGCCACCTACAGGTTTGGCATGCTCTTGTGTGTATATACAAGGGTAAATGTAAACGAAGATCTTTTTGAAAACGGAGACGGTGAAATGTCCGTTTATGAAAATAGCCGACAACGTGTAAACGGCCTCTCAGGTTTCAGAACGCTCACAATCACCCTCAACCAGAACAGCAGCAAAGATGTCAAAAAAGGCCTCGACACCAGGGTTTCTGACTGACAACATATGCTGACATGAGGTCTGCATCAGGCTGACGAAGGATCATAATGACCTATGCGTGCATTTTTCCACCTCTCTTAAGCCCTTTGAGAGGGTGTCATCACATCCTGATTGGACCAGAGGAGAAATGAACCAAGCTGCTCTCAATTCCTAATCAGGAGTCAGTATTAACAGCCTGCGACACAGGTGATCTGAATTACTCTGCAATCGACTGTGACAGTCCGCTGAAGTGAATTGGGAAATGAGAAATGACTGCAGGTTTCAGAGAATGAGGAACTGATACATCTTTAATAGTGAGAGCAAACCCAACTCCCAAAACCATGAACTTAGCCGAGGATTTTCACTTTGAACTTTCACTTTGAACTGCTAGTATGTGCCTTATAGCTGTAACAATGTTTTTGGTAAAGTAGGTGATGAGTCAGAAGTTGAATACTGTGACAACCTGCCATAAAACACAAAGAAGATGAAGTAACTGTTTACAGTTGGATGAGATTGTCACCACAAGTTGGTGCAGAAAAGACACAAATTGGTGCATAAACTTTGACCAGAATTCAGGACATTAAGTGTTTGATGCTTAAAATTTCTTAGGCGAGGACCCCCAGGCCCCCTGCTGATTATGTGTCCCCGTGTTGAAACAAACCTACTCCCCTGTGAGCAGTTGAGTTACAAGTCTGTCAGTCAGCACTCAACAGCAGTACATTGCTTAGCTTCAGTGTCAGACTCCTGT